AATAAATTTCTTTTGGTGCATAAAGGTTTGTTATTGCATTTAAACAAAATAAAATATTTTTGTTTTATATGTTAGTGTTTACCTTAGCTTCAATTTCCTTGACCAATCTAGAAGCTGCAATTCTTTTCTGTGCTGCACTCATATCCTCTACAGCTGTCAGTGTCCTTGCCTTTGCCTTCATTACATATTCTAGATCTTCACCAGTTGCTTTCTTGTCTTTCCATAATTTTGAGGCATTGCTGAATGCAACCTTCCTGGATGTCCCTTTAGCAAGTTCTATGGTCAACAAAAACATCTCTACAATACAACACTGAAAATAAGAATGTCATACTACCTGTTCTACCATATATAAAAACATAATATTGTAGTACACTTCTAGGAGGGGAGGCAAAAAATGGCAGTGCCTTTGGTGATGTACTCGGAAATGAACAAATTATAATCGGTTGGCAATTTCTTCTTTAAAACAGCAGTTCTCGGATATTTGATTCCAGATTCAATCCAGTCCTTTGCGCAATAAGTAGTGTGTTATGTTACGTTTGTGGTGGTATGAAGTTTGACAGCAAATAAAGTAGGCTAAATCTAACGATGTTTTCTTCAGTCTGTCTTTATACAAAAGCAACCATCTTCCACATAGCAAACACTGTTTATGTTACTTTTATAATTTTAACCGATGATTTATTTTGACGGATTAATAACAACTGTATTAAACTAAATCCTTGACAATGCGTCAGCCACTACATTATCTTTTCCACTTATGTGGCAGATATCTAAATTCCACTCCTGCAATGCCAAGCTCCATCTGAGCAATCGCATGTTCTTGTTTTTCATCTTCTGAAGAAACGTTAACGGATTGTGGTCTGTCCATATCTTAATCTTGTGAGAAGCTGCTCCCAAGGGTTTCCTTTTCCACCATTGAGTAACACTGCTGATGCTTATCAAATTTCTTTGAGAAGAAGCAGACTGGTCTTTCAGTTTCACCATCATCCATCTGCATAAGTACTGCACCAGCTCCGATGTCACTAGCATCTATCATTAAAGAAAATGGTTTAAAGAAATTTGGGGCCATCAACACTGGCTCACCAGTCAACATCATCTTCACATGCCTGAACGCATCCTCACACTCTTTTGACCACTGATATGCAACATTCTTTCGCAGAAGACTTGTCAGGGGTGATACTCCCGAAGAGAAATTCTTACAGAATCTTCTATAATACCCTGCCATTCCCAAGAATCTCATTAACTTCTTCTTGTGCAGAAGTTGGGGCTGGGAAGTTCTTTATAGTTTCTATTTTGGCATGTACCGGTTTCACTTTACCACACCCAACGACATGTCCCAAAAACACAACTTCTGCACATGCAAACTCACTTTTTGCAAGATTAACTGTCAAATTAGCTGTTTTCAAATGCTTAAACAACTCTCTGATTCTCTCAACATGCACATCCCATGTATCACTGTAAATCACTAAATCATCAATGTATGCTTCACACCGTTCTAAACCGGATATCAAATTGTTTACTAGTCTTTGAAAAGTCGCGGGGGCATTCCTCATGCCAAACGGCATGACCCGATATTGATAAAGACCCATGGGTGTAACAAACGCTGACACTTGTTTCTATGTGCGGCAGAGGGTATGAATCTGGTTTCGTATGAGCATTCACCTTTCTATAATCTGTACAAAAACGATAGGACTTATCCGGCTTTGGGATTAGTACACATGGAGAACTCCAGCTACTGTTACTTGGCTCTATAATACCATTTGTCAACATAAAATCAATTTGTTTACGAATTATCGCCATTTTAAGTGGATTTACTCTGTACGGATGTTGCTTAATAGGAGTAGTGTTACCTATATCGACATCATGTTCCACCAGGTTTGTCACACCAGGAACATAAGAAAACAATTCCAGATTCTCATTTATCAGCTGCATAATTTCAAATCTCATAACTCAGCAAATGATCAAGTTTCTCTAGTCTCTCAAGGACTTCAGATATTTGTCAACGTGGTACAAGGATCAGTATCAAATAATCTGTCTATCTCTTGACGTGAGTCCGTTTTCTGACTAACACTACACAACACTTGTTTTGTCACACAACCACCCTCCTTCTCAAAATAGGGCTTTAGCATATTAACATGACATAATCGTCTTTTCTGACGTCTATCAGGCGTATCTAATACATAGTCCACTTCACCAACTTTCTCAACAATCTCATAAGGACCAGAGAATCTAGCTGACAAAGGCTGACTCGGAATTGGAAGCATAACTAACACCTTCTCACCGGGACAGAAAACTCTCTCTTCACACTTTCTATCAAATAATCGTTTCATCTTAGATTGAGCTTGCGAAAACATGACACATAATCTAACATGTTACTAGGTTCTTTAGCAACTAGCAAACTTTCTTGGAGTGCTTTTATAGGACCGCGGACCGAGTGACCATAAATCAACTCAAACAGGCTGAAACCCAACGACTCCTGTACACTTTCTCTCACTGCAAAGAGAAGCAATGGTACCCCCTCGTCCCACTCACGCTCACTTTCGAAACAATACGTCCGCAACATATTTTTAAGAGTTTGGTGGAATCTTTCCAACGCGCCCTGCGACTGAGGATGATACGCACTAGAATGTACATGTTTCACACCCAGTTGATCAAGAACTTGTTTAAAAATTTTCGACATGAAGTTTAAACCTTGGTCTGACTGCACACTTTTAGGCAGTCCAAACATTGTGAAGAATTTGATCAATGCCTTCACTACATTCTTAGCTGTAATTCTCCGAAGAGGAATAGCCTCAAGTAACCTACTTGACATGCACATTATGGTTAACAAATATTCGTGCCCTGATTTAGTACGCGGTAACGGACCAACACAATCGATAATTACTCTCGAAAATGGCTCCCCAAATGCTGGAATTGGTCTTAGAGGTTCATTAGGTATCTTTTGATTGGGCTTGCCAAGGATCTGGCATGCATGACATACTTTACAATACTTAGACACATCTTGTCTTAATGTAGGCCAAAAGAAATACTGAAGAATTCTTTCCTGTGTTTTTTTAACCCCAAGGTGACCTGAAAGAGGACCGTCATGAGCAACACTAATTACATCATTATGATAAACACGAGGTAATACAATCTGATGATATTCCTTCCAAATTTCATCTCCTGGGACCTCAGGTGGTCTCCATTTACGCATTAGTATGTCATCCTTTCTATAGTAACACAATGGTACTGTAGATAACTCATCATCAGAAACTGCTGACTAAGCGACAAAATCTCAGGATCCCTATTTTTGTTCTACCAACAAAGCGAGTAACCACACAAGTAGCAAACACATGAGGAAATTCCTCAACTAACTCTATGGTGCGCGTGTCTTCAACAGGATGTTTTGACAACAAAGGCTTTGGAACTACCTTTTCTCCCGCGAGATCATTCCCTAAAAGAAATGTGACTCCTTCAACCGGTAGAGTTGGAACAACTCCAACAACTACTCTCCCTTTAACTAAGTCTGTTTGAAGGTCAACAACATGAAGAGGCACTTCTTTAAAGCTACCTTGGACAAGCACATTTGCTCCAGCTGACGACTCATCAGACACTGGTAAAACAGACGACAACAACAACGACTGCGCAGCATCCGTATCTCGCAAAACCTTAATTGGATAATCTTTTTCACCACTGACCAATGCCACAGTCCCATTTGAAATAAAAGGTTGAAACTGTTTCTTTAACATTTCTGCATCTGATGATTTAAATTTAACTGTGTGATCCACAACATCATTATGTGTGTTCATGACACTTAAAAACGCATTTGGAAAAAGCTTAACATCACCTTTCTTTTTCTGCAACAACCAACAATCTGACTTAACATGACCCTTTCTTTTACAGTAATAACAAACAATATCTCGCAAGGGCCTTTGAAATCCTTTACCACTACTTGTAGTAAAACCAGACTGATTTCTATTAGCTGTGTTCAATTTCGCACCGCGAAAGGTATCATCATTATGTGAAATCTTATTCACTGACTTATGTGTCAACACAAAATTATCAGCCATGGTGGCTGCCTTCATCAACTCATTAACTTTCCATTCTTCCAAGTGTGTTCGCACCTCTGAAGACAAACAATTTTTAAACTCTTCAACGAGTATGAGCTCTCTAAGTTGGTTAAAATCCCCATTAACACCTTCGGAAGTACACCATCTACCAAACAAAACTTGCTTCTTTCTAGCAAATTCCATATCTACATACTTCAGATTGCGAAATTTTTGTCTGTAAGCCTCCGGCACTAATTCATAGGCCTCCAAAATCGCCTTTTTAACAGTTTCATAGCTCTCACACAGATCATCTGACAATGAGGAAAAAACTTCCTGAGCTTTCCCAATTAAACCTGTCTGTAATAACACAGTCCAATCCTTGGCAGGCCATTTAGGCCTATTCGCCACTTTCTCAAACGCCATGAAGTAAGATTCAACCTCCTCTTCATTAAATTTTGGAACCCATTTAATGTTATGAGTGATCTCTGAATCATTACTGCTATTTGAACGACCGGAAAAACTACCCATTTCAATTTGTCCCATCTCTAAAACCAACCACATGAATCAACTCATCTTTTTACATTGAAGCAGTAACTTTAATTCCCAGCTTTTCAGTAATGAGTACCAGCTGATCCTTTCTCAGCGTACATAATTTCTCAATGGATAAACTACCCACAAATTTATCGGTTATTTCACTTTCCGACATGATTCTATTTTAGCCTACCTTTCACAAAACAAGGTATTCTGACTCGGGCAGATAACAAAATGATATCTATAATCAACCACAAACCCCACACCGGGCTATACTAATCAACACCTGACACTGTCGCAAGCGTCACACCCGAGTGAACAACAATGAAGAACAACACCAACTGAAACCTTGAATGGCGCGAACGGGCCTAGCTAACCAACCGAAACTTGGTCACACAAACTTCATAAATACTATTCTATCCAGCCTTATATGGGCCTAGAAGTTATATCTACCTTTCCACCGACCTTCGTTTCCCGGATGACCCCCCAATTTTGTTACGTTCGTCTAGTGGTGGTATGAAGTTTGACAGCAAATAAAGTAGGCTAAATCCAACGATGTTTTCTTCAGTCCGTCTTTATTCAAAAGCAACCATCTTCCACATAGAGGGTGCAGCCTCATCACAGTTAGGTAGTTATTTTTCTATTGATTTGTACATATAGTTAGTGTGGACCAGTCAAATTTAAATTATTCTTACTACTTACTTACTAGTGCAAATGAAAGATCTACTAATGCAAAAGCAAATGCTTTTGAAATGAAAAAAATCGGATAACCAGTTGTGGAGTTATAATTTTTAAACTAAGCGGCGTTGGACATAAATAATAAAAAAATATGATCAATATTAATAAATTTTAAAAGTCAAGATGGCCAACATGGACAATTTTCAAAAATTGCCATTTGTCCCAAATTTACAGTAAATTTAATACTTGAAAGAAATAACATAAATCTGTAGATACTATGGTTGTAATTACAATATTGTATATTGTATATTGTTTTTTTTTCTGTATAAAATAGAGAAATTCTTAATAAAATAATGATCAATTAAATTATTAAATTAACTTCGCTCCACCACTTGTTCTAGAGCTTTAAGATCTACATCTAGTTCATCTACATTATTCATCCCTTCATGTCGTACAAGAATGTATGGTGAAAGAGCATTTTCCGTTACTGCTCCCAAGCAGTCTCCTTTTGTTGAGATATTTAAAAATCGTCTCAAGGCTCATCTCTTTAGTTTATTTTAATTTGCAAATTTCTAGCACATAGAGACCTATGTATTTTGTGCTTTACAAATCCAAATTATTATTATTATTATTGCAAATGAAAAATTATGCACCTAAATAAGATAGCAGCCATCGATCATTTCTGTTTTATAATCATAATAGCAATAATAACAATGAGACTAAACTATTCCTTAAACTAAACTTCATGACATCCATTTGTTTTACAATACATTTATATTTCAATCTTAAATTAATTAATTAATTAACGATTTAGTTGTATGTATTTGGATTAAAATACATTGTAACTGTCATGGTACAAAACTCAAAAAATGATCTAAATCACAGTGATTTAAGATTTCAAACTTTATTTGTTGAACTTTCAGTCTTTTACCATATATATTATTAACTGCTTCAGGAAAAAATAGTTTTCACTAATTAACAAATAATTTACAATATTAATTACCAGTCAATTTAAGGGTCAGTGCAAAACTTACTACAGAATTTCAATTAATTTTTAATATTACATTAATAAAATGTTACTATGTTAAACTACTGTAGTATTGTTAATAAATAAATCAGTTTCAGCTGTTCAATTGCCATCTAGTGTTTCCATGGGCTCTTCCCTTTGAGTTTGTTTGATGGTCATTGGTATTATACAGTTTTGAAATTAATTTATTAAACATAATACTACAAAGGGTAATAAATATATGGTTATCAGGATTCTAACAAGAGACATCAAACAGTTCGTGCAGATGCTCTGTCTACAGAGTTATGAGTAATTTGCTTGGCAAATTATCATTCATGGCTGGATGCAGACTACCAAAGTGTACAATGGGCTTTATCTAAAATATGGCCTGTGCCCTTACCAGTTCTCGTCTGTCCAATGCTGTAGCAATAAAGATTTTAGGATCTATTCCTTCTGTCAGGGGTGGATTAGGTAGAGGCAACATTGGAGACATACATATTTGCTCATCACAGCCCGCAATTTTGTTGATGATAATTTCATTCTCTTGCTGACCTACAGTACAAAATATTGGTTGGCATGAATAATCACTTATTAAAGGGCATAATGAAATGGGGTTTTTTTGAAGCTGTGTTATTTGTTATTGGACTGTGTGTAAAGCATCATGTGTAGTACTACAAGAATGCCTTTTACACCTAAAAGTATTAAAAGTCTCCTTGGAATGCAAATTCCCTGATATATAATACTGATACATTAATTATAAACTAATGTAGCTTGAGAAATGAATTAGATTTAAACAGTTAACAGTTAAAAAATGAGAAAACAGGGCAGTATTTACCTTTTGAAAGGGATGGGGGTGGGGATGGGCTCTCAGGAGATGTTGCTACCTGCTTATCACCATCTTCACATCCATGGGGAGGGGATGGTTTCCTGGGTACCTGCTCCTCGTTATCTTCATATTCATTAGGACGTGATGGCATCCTTGGTAATGTTCCTACCTGCTCATTCCTATCTTCAGATTCATTAGGGGAAGGGGATAATGTTCTTGGTGATGTTGCTACCTGCTTGTCGCTATCTTCACATTCATTAAAGGTAGGGAGTGGTGTCCTTGACAATTATACTGCCACCTGCTCCTCACTATCTTCACCTTCAGTGTTTTTATTTTCATCTCCTTGCTGACCTACAACATTGATAGCGCAAGTGAATAATAATGTATTGTATAAGTAAATTATCCTTCCTGTTTTATGCCTGACCAAAAATAGCAAATATATCCCTGGATTCTGTCTCTTATACACATCTAGATGTGTATAAGAGACAGAGGCTTAGGAGATGTAAACTACTTCCTAATTAAATAAAACTTTTCAAGCAGGTAGATAAAACATTACTTTCCCATGTAACACAGACGAGCATAATTGAAAAAAAATAATAACTTCTGAACTGGACATCCAATTGAAAAATAAAATATATCTGAAGAAAGCTATTGATAAACAATATCTTTGTGTGAAATATCAAGTGTTTTTGTTCTTAAAAACAAGATTAGCAAGAATTAAATACAAAATGAGGAAAGAGCAAAAAAGCAAATTTAAAACACCACTTTACACAGTGTGCAACTACATGCC